ATATTTGTCCTGTCCAGCTGCTAAGTCTCCGTTGCTTAGGGCACCCAACCATGGAATTGTTCAGTGTGTTCCTGGGCTGCAGCCCATGGTGCCGTGGTTGGGAGTCAGGCCACGGTGTGGGGGCAGTAGGAGCCAGAACGCTGGCACCAGAAGCAGCTTCTCAAACAGGTCTTTCTGCTGCACTTTATCTTCCTCTCTCACCTGATGTTCCTGCTCCAGAAATTGCACTACAAGCCTCCCCTCGTGTGCTGCAATTCCATCTTCTTCCTCTGCAGCCTGTTTTGTGCCTTTCCACATGCCGTGAATCCTTCTCCCTCTGGTATTGCAGCTGCTCGTTGGCCCTGTCCAGAATGTCCTTCCGAAATTCAGCATGGAAACAATTCTACTTGGACCGGTTCATAACAGTTCTGAATGGAACTGCTGGAGTGTGCCGATGCTGCTGAGGTCAAAGGGCCTAAATGCAGATGTCCAACGGTGCATTAGTGTCTCAATTACTTCAAAACAGGTCTGTGCATCTGCAGACAAAAGTGCCTTGGGGAATCTCAGGGCCAAAATATGATACCATAAAACTGAGCTTCAGTGTATTCTGAGAGGATGCTTCAGTTCCCAGCTGCTCTGTGGATGAACCAGAGTTAATCACGGTGAAAAGAATGCACAAAAAATATTAAGTTTAAAATTTATTGTTGCTTTTTGTTTTAAAATTGCAGAGCAGCTTTGCTGTGGGGGAGGGAATCTCTTGGCAGGGGCGAACTTATTACCAAAGCCTTCTCCATATTTTCAAAAAGAAAAGGAGTACTTGTGAGCTGTAGCTCATGAAAGCTTATGCTCAAATTTATTTGTTTGTCTCGAAGGTGCCACAAGTACTCCTTTTCTTTTTGCGAATACAGACTAACACGGCTGCTACTCTGAAACCTGTCCATATTTTCAGGCATTCCACCTTCTGGAGGACATGGCCATTCAGGAACCTTAAAATTGTTATGGCACATTTTACCAGTGGCAAACCACCCACATGTGCCACAGAGGTTTTCAAACTTACCGTGAGTGGAGCGGGCTGGTGCCCCATAGAGGTTTTTAGTCTTTGTCTGCAGCATGAGGCACAGACCACATGCAGGTTTAAACTAATGTAAATGGTAGATTCTGTGTAACTTGAAGTTTTTAAATCATGATTTGAAGACTTCTGTAAGTCAGCCAGAGGTTGTGGGTCTATTACAGGAGTGGGTGGGTGAAGTTCTGTGGCCTGCAGTGTGCAGGAGGTCAGACTAGATGATCATGATGGTCCCTTCTGTCCTTAAAGTCTGAGTCTATGCGATGGGCTTGGAAAATACACCCTTACCTGAAGTGTGACTATCTAGCTGGAGTTTTTCTATGTGAAAAGTTTGTGGCTGCCAGCACCTGGGAGTGGGAAAAAATTTATGGGGAAATCAATGGGATGCTGAGTTAGTGTCCACGTGGATTAGTCTCCCTACAGCTCCTGACCCGGACTGCTCTGAATGCATCTATGTAGAATGCATCTACAAACAAACACATGGTAATACAGACTCTCAAGGAACACACAGTCATCCCCCACCCCCAGCACATTTCTGGACTACATACAACTCCCCAGCCATTCTTCAGACACTGATTTAGTCACCCTGGACTACATTTAACCTTCTTCCTTCTTTCCAACCCTCCCCCACCCCTCTTGAACAATGTACTGTTTAGAGGAGGCTCATTAATTTGTTGATTTGTACTGCATGGTGTACTAAAAGAGGAGGCAATATAAGGGTCTTACTTTTAACACCTTGGTACATCTTTGTAAGATTGAGCAAGGTTGTTGTGTTTTTTTTTTAAATGTTTGTTTCACTGTTGTTTGTGCTTGCTGGTCTCCATTTTGAATTCCTGGGGGTGGTGAGGTGATGCTGAGACACTGGAGTGCAATCTGATATTAGCAGATTCACACTGCAATCTGTGGGTTGTAATAAATTTTGCAGTGGGTCATAAACCGGAAATCCCTCTTATATTAATTACAAATGTGGATCATGAAATTTACAAACACAGGAGAAGGTTCACACTGCTTGTAGCTCAGGGGTCAGAATAAAATGGAAGAGTTAAAGGCAGAGCAGCTGCACTTGAATCGGGTGGCTACTTCCTTTTCTTGGGAGTCAGTTGGCCAGTCTTGGGATAGAAAGGACACCATCCCATGGGATTGTGGGACAGTGTTGATGGACTCTCAGGACTCAAGCCTAGGGGGCCCTGGCCCCAGCTGAGTCCACAATGCAAAATGATGACGTTTGGGCCTGAGTCCTGCAAGACTTGGCTTCAACCCCTACCCCCTGCAGCGTCCTGCAGCACAGGCCAAGAAGGCTTGCAGGCCCAAGCCAGACAGAAGTGTGTGTAGATGGAATGGGGGTTGGTCTTGAGCCTGAGCTCAGGTTTACATTACAGTGTGGATATGCCCTGTGCGACATCTCATCCAGATGACAGCACTTCTACTACAATAGCACTCTATTGACCCCATTGATTCAGATGGGGGGACAAAGAAATTTACTTAATCAAATTACCGCTTCCTGCACTACTCTAGGCTTTCCTTGAGGGTTTCTTGGCCAGCACTGACTAGGGATGACCCTGCTTACCTTGTGGGAGCTATTCAGAAACGGGGAAACCCAATTCACGTCCATCTCAGCTCATTAAGGTGAGGTTTTTGTGGGCTGAGCAGATATTCCAAAGTGGTGCAATATGAACAAAGCAATTCATTGTTGTGTCTAGTGCTTTCAGTTGCATATGGTTCCCTTCTAATGCCATTTTCTCTTTGTCACCGCTTTGTTATAATTTAACCCTTAACCAGCGGTAGATACATGGAAGATAAGCATGTCTCAATGGGAGCAGTATGTATATAAAACCACAGTGTGAATGACTGCTTAGGCACAGTAGAGGATTTGTTATAGATTTTAAAGCCAGAAGGGTCCTTTGTGATCATCTAGTCTAACCTCCTGTATAACACAGGCCATAGGATTTCCCTACATTAATTCTAGTTTGAACCAGAGCACATCTTTTTGAAAAAGTCAGTCTTAATTTAAAAAAAGAAAAGGAGTACTTGTGGCACCTTAGAGACTAACCAATTTATTTGAGCATGAGCTTTCGTGAGCTACAGCTCACTTCATCAGATGTTTACCGTGGAAACTGCAGCAGACTTTATATACACACAGAAATCATGAAACAATACCTCCTCCCACCCCACTGTCCTGCTGGTAATAGCTTATCTAAAGTGATCAACAGGTGGGCCATTTCCAGCACAAATCCAGGCTTTCTCACCCTCCACCCCCCCACACAAATTCACTCTCCTGCTGGAAAGCTCATGCTCAAATAAATTGGTTAGTCTCTAAGGTGCCACAAGTACTCCTTTTCTTTTTGCGAGTCACTTTGGATGGGCTAGCACCAGCAGGAGAGTGAATTTGTGTGGGGGGGTGGAGGGTGAGAAAACCTGGATTTGTGCTGGAAATGGCCCACCTGTTGATCACTTTAGATAAGCTATTACCAGCAGGACAGTGGGGTGGGAGGAGGTATTGTTTCATGATTTCTGTGTGTATATAAAGTCTGCTGCAGTTTCCACGGTAAACATCTGATGAAGTGAGCTGTAGCTCACGAAAGCTCATGCTCAAATAAATTGGTTAGTCTCTAAGGTGCCACAAGTACTCCTTTTCTTTTTGCGAATACAGACTAACACGGCTGTTCCTCTGAAACCAGTCTTAATTTAAAAAGTACCAGTGATGGAGAATCCACTACAATCCCTGGGAAGTTGTTCTAATGGTTAATTACCCTAATTGTTTACAAAAAAAAAAAAGTGTGCCTTATTTCTATTCTGAATTTGTCTAGCTTTGACTTTCAGCTAGTGGATCTCATTGTACCTTTGTCTGCTAGCCCTCTGTCAAAATGTCTGGTCCCCATATAGGTATTTTTAGACTGTGAGCAAGTCATCTCTTAACCTTCTCTTTGTAAGCTAAAAAAATTGAGCTCCTGGAGTCTACCACTATAAGGCATATTTTCCAGTTCTTTAATCATTCTGGGGGCTTGAATCGGAACCCTCTCCAATTTATCAACATCCTTCTCAAATTGTGGACACCAGAACTGGACACAGGAGCGCTCGAAGCTCCCTAGAAGTGGGAGGGGCTATGAGCGCCAGAACAGGGGCCCTGCCTCTGCCTCTTCTCCTGAGCCCACTCCACCCCTTCCCCCTAAGGTCCTGTACCCACCATGCCTCTTTCCCTGAGGCCCCACCCATTCCTCTCTGCCCCCTACCTCCCATTGCTTGCCATTAAGGCAGGTAAAACATGATGAAACCATGGCCCCCTGCCCTCCTCCCCGTTCCAACACCCCTGACTGGACACAGTACTCCAGTAGTGGTCATACCAGTGACAAATACAGAGCTAAAATAACCTTTCTACTCCATGTTCCCCTGTTTATACATCCAGGGATCACACTAGCCCTTTTGGCCACAGCATTGTGTTGGGAATCTAAGTTAGGTTGGCAAGACCTATTTGCCATAAACCCATGCTGAAAGGGATTAATTACATTACCCTTCTTTAATTATTGAGACTGTGATGCTGTGTATGTCCACACTGACACTGAAAGGGTTAAAGGAAGCTGGCATGCTCAGTTAGGGCACCTGGTGGCAGAGGTGAAAGGAAGCCCGTACGCTCTGGTATGGCTACCGGCAAGAGCCGGTGCACCGTACTGGGGCAGCCCAGCTTCCCCAGGCAGGGCCGGCTCTAGGCACCAGCAAAACAAGCAGGTGCTTGGGACGGCACATTCCTAGGGGCGGCATTCTGGCGCCGGTCACGGTGCCCCTAGAAATGTGCCCGCGCCGCCGCCGCTCCGCTTCGCCCCCCCGCCTGCCCAGGCTTGCCGCGCGCCAAACAGCTGTTTGGTGCTGCAAGCCTGAGAGGGAGGGAGGGGGGGGGAGGAGAAGCCGAGCGGCGGCGCGCTCGGGGAGGTGGCGGGGGTGGAGCGGAAGTGAGCTGGGGCGGGGAGCAGTTCCTCTTTCTCCCCCCCCCTCGCTCCCCTCCGCTCCGCCTCAACGTGCTGCCTCTCTCTCGCCTGAGAGGGAGGGGGGAGAAGCGGAGTGGTGGCGTGTTCAGGGGAGAAGGCAGAGCAGAGGTGAGCTAGGGTGCAGGGTTGCGGGCGGGGGGAGCCGCAGGAAGCAATGGTGGGGGGGAATGCGGCACACCCAGGGGAGGAGGTGGGGAAGGGGCAGAGTTGGGTCAGAGCCGGGGGCACAAAAAAAAAGCAGGGGCGGCCAAAAATTTTTTTGCTTGGGGCAGGAAAAATCCTAAAGCCGGCCCTGTCCCCAGGGGGCAATTTAAAGGGCCTGGGGCTCCCAGCAGTGGCTGGAGCCCCACGCCCTTTAAATTGCTTCCAGAGCCCCACTGCTGGAGTTCTGGGGTAGCGGCTGTGGGGCTCCGGTGGCTATTTAAAGGGCCGGGTCTCCCCTGCTTCTACCACCCCGGCCCTTTAAATAGCCACCGGAGCCCCGCGGCTGCTACTCCATGGCTCCGGGGGCTATTTAAAGGACCAGGGCGGTAGAAGCAGGGGAGCTGCAGGCCCTTTAAATAGCCCCCAGAGTCCTGGGGTAGCGGGGGTCTCCAGCTGCCTCTGCCGCCCCCGGTCCTTTAAATAGCCGCTGGAGCCCCGCTGCTTCCCCAGGGCTCCGGCGACTAATTAAAAGATGGGGCAGTAGAAGCAGGGGAGCCCCAGGTTGCTGCTGCTACCCCGGGGGGGGGGAGGAGGAGAAGGGGGAGGCACTTACCTAACAGGGTGGTCTGGGGCTGGTTCTGATCCCCTCAGCCCCGCCCCTTCCGCCCTAGGCCCCGCCCCTTTCGGGGGCCAGAGCTGGCCCAGCGTACCGGTAAGTCACTCGACTTACTTTCACCCCTGCCTGGTGGTAACTACAGGGCATGTCAGGCTCAACTAAGAATGAGACCCAGCTGAGGAAGAGCTGGGTAGCTAAGGGTATGTCTACATTATCAGCAGGGGTCGATTTATCGCGTCTAGTCTAGACTCGATAAGTCGATCCCTGAGCGCTCTCCCATCGACTCCTGTCCTCCACCGCCGCGAGAGGCGCAGGCAGAGTCAACGGGGGAGCCGCAGCAGTCGACTCACCGTAGTGAAGTCCCGACGGTGAGTAGGTCTAAGTACGTCGACTTCAGCTACGTTAATCACGTAGCTGAAGATGCGTAACTTAGATTGCCCGCCCCTTCCCTTCCCCCCGCCCTCCCCCACCAGTGTAGACCAGGGCTAATATAAAGGAAGGGCTTCAAGACAGAAAGAAGCAGGAAGTTCAAGGGAGAGCAGGGTTAGGGATGCTCTCCCAAGAGGGGAACACCGGTAAAAGTTTAGGAGAATAGGGGTAGAGTAAGCTCCTGGAGTGAACCTTGATTAAAAAGTCAGGAACTGGTTCTCCAGGAAGAAAGTCCTGGGCAATGGTGCTTGCAGCAAGAGCCCACAAAGGGTCTAGGGACAAAGCTAGGTAGGAAGTAGTCCAGCAAAGAGTCTAAGGAAACAGATCTTAGCTACTCGTCCCTGCACTGGGAACCTGCGTAGAGGGAGGGCTTGGCTTCCCCTAATGACCACTGAGGAGGGTGGTGTGAAACACCTTGTTACAAGGGGTAAGGACTATTGAAAGCGCAGAGACAAGGGGATGTAAGGATGACTGGGCCCAGAGTTGAGGGCTGAAGACCTGGTGTAAGATCACTGGACTATAATTCAGGGGACCCGGTCCCTTCAGAAGGGGTGGGAGTAGGGTGACCAGACAGCAAGTGTGAAAAAAGGGATGGGAGAGGGGAATAATAGGAGCCTATAAAAGAAAGAGACTCCAAAATTGGGACTGTCCCTATAAAATTGGAACATCTGGTCACCCTAGGTGGGAGTGAATGTGACCTGGATGGAGGGTTGCGTCATGAGAAGAAGCAAAGCACTGGAGGGGCTGCTCACGGGGTGTTGGAGGATAACCTGCTATGTCATACCCAGCTATGAGGTGAATTACACTCCTACGGAGTCCTATAGCAGCTGTTGTATCATTTTGCCTGGGATTGGTGTCAGGTTGACAAGTCTATAATTACCTAGGTCATGCTATCTTACCCTTTTAAAATACTGGTACAACATTAGCTTTTGTCCAGTTCTCTGGAACTTCCCTGGCATTCCAAGACTTACTGAAAATCCAGACTAGTTGTCTGGAGCGCTCCTTGGCCAGCTTTTTTAAAAAAAACTTTTGATGGCAAGTTATCTGGACCTGCTGTCTAACTTTAGTTGCTGCTGTTTAATATCTCCCTGAGTTACTGTTGGAATGGAAAGTATTTCATCACGTGATAGGAATACATCTGCCTTTTTCCCAAGCACAGAACAGAAATATTTATCGAACATGCCTGCCTCTTCTGCATTATTACTGAGAATTCCATCTAGTATCTACCAATACCTTCATGGCTGGAGAGCCAAAGGAAAGGTTGATGCACAATACCTCCCAGAGCTTCCCCTGGCATCCAACAGGTCTGCCCCTTTGTCTGGCATAACATAGTCCCAAGTGCTGATGAAAATAGCAATTTTCACTAGTTTAAACCTTAAGTAATGTACAATTGATGCTGCTGTTGCTATAGGGATAGAACTTCTGCCAGTTTCCCACAGGATCCCCTCCTTTGATGATGTAACATGGTCCATACTCACTGATGTTGACATCTGCCAGACCTGAAGGGGTGAATGAGTTACTGTGAACATCAATACCCTTGAATATTTCACACCGCATTTCAATGAAGCGCCGAACAGGGGAAGGACGTATGTCATACAAGTTGAGCTCAGCTCCCCATTGTGAAAGCTCCCAAGGTAAGGTGACGTGCACTTTTCACTGTGGATGAACTGTAAATTGTATTTGAAACCAAATACTTCAATTAAAATGGATATGCCTGGCTCACCTCTCTTCCTGGAGAATGACATTATTTGTGACTCCCACAGGAAAGAGGTCCCAATATTTAAGATTATCAGTTACCCACTTTCCATCTGTAATCCTGGTTTAAGAATCACATGGAGAATTTTGCTGTTCATATTTGAATAAACTGTTATCCTTGTTTGAACAGTATCATTCTTTTCCTAGTAGATTGTGTGTGTTTGACTACTGAGAGTGCCCAAATTTGCACAGTAAAGGAGATCTGACTTTCACTTCGATTCAAGACGCACCTTTAGCTCACTGGTGCAGCTGTCATGCTGGTGTCTTACCAGAGCCCCCTTCAAATTCCCTCCATTTTGTGAGGTGGAATAATAATCACACTTTGCTTCAATCACCGGCCTTGAGCTAGCGGAGGCAGTGGGACTATTCTTTGTGCACAGAAGGGGAGTGCGTTGCTGGGTGGGAAGAAAGGGTTGGTGTTTAGGACTCTATTCTGCCCTTGCTTTGTCCATTTGAGGAACTGCAGCTCACATGTTGAGGGGAGAAGAGAGCTTTTAGTCAGGGGGATAAACAACCTCTACTAGAGTCTCAAGAACTATATGTATGCACGCATGCATTTTCAAAACTTAATTCTACATTAGGACCTTTGAATATTCAATCAATGTCTATATAACGGAATTAAGGCCATCAGAGGTAAGACACAGCATATGCAGAAAAGATGCAAGCTCCCTCAGACTACCCCCCTAATATACCTCAATACCAACTTGGAGGGGCTACCATTAGAGGGATGTGGGTAGCTTAGTCTCCAGGTGCATTTACCTTTGACCCCTCTGCTTGTGTTTGTAACTGGGATATAATAGGTTTAATTGGAGGACTTCTTTAGCTTTGGGGATTTATGGGAATTGTGACAACTTTACATTGACCCAGGGGCCAGATAAATAGAGATAAATTGTTAATTTTCCCTGTGAGGCAGTCTTTTGTCAAATCACTTCACCAAAGTCATTGAGGACTCAGAATTCATGTCAGAGCAATGAATAAAACAGATTGGAGACCCATACAAACTGGGACTTCTCTAGTCAACTCACACAATGTGTGTGTTAATTTCAGATGCTGGAGCTTGGCAGTGCAGGGGTTTGTCTTTCCCCTTGGGAAAACTAGATTTAATATATTGCGTTAAAGGGAAATACAGCTGCAAGTGTGTAGAGGACGTTAACACTAAGGGTGGAGAGGAATTGATTAGGGCTGTAAAAGGGATATAATAAAGAGTAAGTAGATGAAATGAAGCCAAGGAATCGAGACTGAACATTGGGGGGTGAAGAAGGGGAACTGCTTTTCGATGGCGGAGTAGTTTTCCAAAGGAAGAGGTGAAAGTACCATTCCAGGACACCTGCAACTATACTATAAGGGCCATTCCTACCCAGGCAGGGTATGGATAACATGCTCCAATGGGTCTTTTCTAGAACACCCATATATCCAAGACTTGGAGTGAGAATGAGTTTGGTGCCCTCGATTCAGTCTTTGCTGCCCACAAAATGCCACTCAGAGTTTGGTATACTTTCTGTTTTGTACAAAAGATATTTGTAAAATTAGGGTGTATTATCCCCATCTTCCCCCTTTTGGGGTCCATTGATCAACATGCGAATGCAGGTGGAGGTGGTGTTGGCTATCATTAGGGGTTTCCCAAAGGTAAAGTGAGTTGTGTAGGAATGCCTGTTGGTGAGATCACGAGGCCTGCCTTCCTCTCCCACCTCCTCTAGATAACTCTGGCTCACAGAATAGCCAGGGTGTTGCTGTCTTAGACTCAGAAAATTTAGTTTTGAAATCTTATGAGAATGAGCCAAGCCAGAGTAAATGCCCACTAGGTCATATAGTTCATCTTTGTTCCCTGGACTGAAGAAAAATTTGTCTGGTTTTAAATGATTCAAATGACAAGACTTCTGCTTCCCTTGTGAGACAGCAACACAATCTAATAGATCCCACTGTTAGGAAGACTTTTCTGATATTCAGCCTTCACTTTCTTTGCGTAATGTCAGGGTGTTCTCTGTGGAGATCATAGATTATAGGAACAGTTGTGAGGGTAGCACTTGTCTGAGTGCTGGGATTTAGTATGTCTACTCACTCCATCTGTAAAGGTAAATATGAGTAGCAAAATAGAAGAAGTGTAGCTCGCTTTGTTGTGAAAAGTTTCATTTAGGTGTTGTAATGCCCTCTTCCTGTCACGAGGGGTCAGAAAAACACTAAAAAGTTTGAGAACTCCCTGAAATTGTAGTGTCTGTGCGCGGAGAGGGGCAGTTTTAAGAAACAGAGTGCCGCTTTAATGTTAAAAGTGACAGCTAACTCCATCAGTCCAGCTAAGAATTTAAGAGTAGTTATGCTCAGAAAACGGACTCTGTGTGACAACAGCACCCTGTTACTGCCCAGATCTGCTTCCAATGTGTCTTCTGAGTCATATCTGTTTTGGTGGCTGATAGATTTAAATTTTTTTTAAACTACTATCAGCACTGTGGAGACAATAGACCTATAGTAGCGCAAAAATGAGTTCTAATCTGCCTTGCCATATCATCTTTCTGTAAATTCTACTTTCCAAATCTTTATTGCTGGAGACTGATGTAGGATGCAGAAAGAATCCAGCTTGAGTTCTTCCAAATGTCAGGCTGACCTTGAGGTGCCTGCTGTTAGTAACAATGACAGCTTGTGGTCCCATGTTTATTTCCCTGACCTCAACTACTTCCAGCTCCAAAGCCGATTCTCTGGCTTGCTGAGATTGTGTGGCAAAGCAGGAAGGGGTGGCGTGAAGGAGGAGCTGGTTATGGTTCTTTAATTCTCTGTCCGGTAAGTAAGAGCAGCCCGGGAGCTGCTCTGATTTGTTCCAGTTGGCAATAGTCCCCAAGGGAATACCCAGTAGCTGAATATAGCTCCATTTCTACCTTGTTCTGGTGAGTTTACACTGCATTTCACAAACTCAGTATGTTGACCACACTGCCTCCACTGTTTGTCCAAAGCAGGGTAAAAGTAAATGGAAAATACATATGGTAACGCTAAGAACACAAAATACCAGTATGGCTTTCCTGTAAGGGGTTGTAGAGTAAATAAATAGTGACTGATGTCAGACCTGTAGAAGGACCTGTTTGTCCCCATAATCTGACAAGATGGGAGGAATTAGAAACTGTACCCTGGACACCTGCCAGTGGCAACAGAGGAGTCGTAGTATTGATTCTCTGGATGGACTGGGAAATGTGCTTACCCTCTACAGCACAGTGGTGCTGTGCTAGTTTCTAGAGATTTAAGGTACCCCCTCCCTTCCTGTTACCATAGTATCTGAGTGCCTCACAATTTTTCATGCATTTCTCATCAACATCCCTGTGAGGCAGGGAAATACTATTTTCCCCATTTTACAGATGGGAAAATGAAGCACAGAGGGGGACTAAGCGCCTTGTCAGAGGCCAGACAGGAAGGCTGTGACAAGTTCCAACCCAGGGAATTGAACCCAGTTCTCCCGAGTCCTATGCCAGAGCCCCAATCACTGGGCAATCCTGAGCAGCATCAGTGGAGACTAGAGATTGCAGGGCTTGTAAATGTGTATGAAAGCCCTGGTTGTGTTACTGTATGATGAGTTTACTGTGTTATGAATTAATAGTAGAAACTTATTTTGGATAGCTTGGACTAAGGCCCTTACCAAGTTAAACTATTCAGATGGGTGGTGGTGGTTGCTGCAGAAGTTAACTAGGTGGCACTAGATCCTCCCATATTGTTGTCTCTATACTAATGAGACTTTGGGAGTATAATCTTGGTTACTGGTTTGAAGGTCCTGCTGTAAAGAAATAGTTTTTGCTGTATGTTACTGCAGCTTTCTCCATATACAATACAAGCCAAGACCCCGGGGAAAGTGTTAGAATCCATACTTCTGGCAAACACTGTCTCCCCAGTCACAAAGAGGTGACTCCCTGAGTGGTTCGCTCTGTGCTGAAGGAGGTGAAATTCCAAGGGCCCTTTGGAATAGAAACTGCCGAAAGGATGTAGGGATAAGTAGCATCTTTAGGAAGAGAATTTTCCTAACTGCTAAGTAGTTTTCTGTGGCTATCCACCCTGGCAGGCCCTCAGGTTGAGGAATCAGATGATGTACCTAGTGCAGAGGGTGCAGTGTGGACCAACCAGGTTATTGGACATCTTAGGAAGTCACAGATTGAGCAGTTAGTGGCTGAAAGGGGAGAAGGTTGGTGCCGAATTTCTTCCATTGGTTCTTTGCTGCCTGACCGACACCAGAGGAATAGAATCACAACCTTACTAGTTTGCTAAGCACCCCCAAACCCAACAGCAGATGAGAAATATGGTTTACTATCATCTTGGGAACTCTGTCACATACAGAGTATGTCTATATTACAAAATTCTGTTGACCTAAATTATGGCCACTACAGACATTAAATTGCTTTTGCATGTCTGCACTATGCTCTGTGTATCAGCGGTGCACATCCTCACCAGAAGTGCTTGCACCAATTTAACTGCCAGTGTGGGGCATCATGGGACAGCTTCTGAAAGGCAGCTATAGTCAATGTGAGCAATGCAGTGTCTATACTGACAGTGCATTGACCTAGCTACATCAACACGGACTCTCTGCCTCTTGTGGAGGTGGAGTTATGTCAGTGTAGTGGGCGAGTTACATCAGCAGAAGCGACGTTTTAGCATAGATGCTTAGTTAGGTCAACATAAGCTTTCTTATGTTGACCTAACTCTGTAGTCTAGACCAGGCCACAGACTGCCAAGAGAGGCACAAGGCATAGTCCTGACAGGTTGTGAAAGAAAGGGTGGGTATTTGTGCCTAATACAACTTCACTTACTCTTCTCCACATAAGAGTCAGCAGTGGGACCAGGAGATCAAAGGAAGGCATGCCTTGGAGGTGGGCTTCATGGAGCTCCTGGGGAGGCCAGGGGCAGTAATATGAGACGCTGGTGGGGAAAGGAAGGATCACTGAGCTAAAGGAGTGGGGCGCCTGATAATGAGATATTATACACCCTTGGAGCAGCTACCGGCACAGATCTAGGAAAGCAGCGAGTCCAGGATGGAGATGCTGGCATACTAGCAATTCCAGCTTAACTGGGAGATTCATCGTATCTGAAATAATAGTAATGGCATTTCTGAGCAAGCTCTTCACATTTTAGCAATGTTAATGACCACCTCTCTTGTCAGGGTCATCATTCAATAAACAGAGTGGAAGCTCCCACTCCTGTCTGCCTGGAGTATCTGTCTTCAGTATGCAGCTGTTGATCAATAATCTACAGTAGATCAGTAGAAAAAGTAAATAAAATAGATATTGATGAAATGTCTGTCTGTACCCATCTATCTAGGTCCATAAAACCATGTGTTGTACAACATTTCAGCCTTTGCTTTCAACATGTGATCAAGCTTGCAAAGTTGATTTCAGTTTAGAGTGATCATTACAATTGTCAGTTTAAGTAATTAATTTGTGGGTCATTAGCTCCTTTGAGACAGGTCCTCAGTTTTGCAGCTGAATTTGCTCTGTGTGCCCCGAAACTGAAATTTGACCTACGATCCCCATGTTCTATATGCAGCAGCTCCATTGGTGCTAAGCTGGAAGTAACTCTTTCAAAGTTTATTCTTGGCATACAGACTATAGCATAAAACTAGCATGGATCCTTCAAAGTGTCTGGAGCTAGTGAATGCTATTGAATTTCACATCCCTTTTGCTCTTGTAAAGCAGTGTCAGATTTTCAAGGTGCAGTTAAGTTCAGCAGATTCCAAGCTATAGGATCTGGATAAATGCATGGCAAATGGGATCCCTTAGGGAGATACGGTGAGTGTCATGCCCATAGTGTCAGAACCTATATATAGAAGATGAAGTCTAGGCTCAAAATGGTTTCTCACTGACCATTAATCTGGGACTAGGGCTTAATAAAACTGATTGCTCTGCCAAATTGTTTCTTGACCTCCAAAGTGTAGGTGACACTGAATTTATTATGCTCATTTTAGGAATTAAAATTGATTGTATTAAAACTTTGAAAAGCTTTCATTAGTGCCATAAGGGTTGGATACATCAGTGGGTCACATTTTACATGCAACTTGTTGAAAACAAAGGATTCCTACCAAAGATGAATTTGAGTTCTGTTCTGGTACAGCAACCCAATTAAATTAAGAGGAGGAAATCAGTAGTGTAGTTGAAAGTAAACACTGGTGAACTCTGTTTATCCACTTCTCATTTGGGGACTATGGAGTTTAGTTTGCCTGATAGCTCACAAGCCACCAAAACTAGAAATAAGTTAGCGTACCAGTGGAATGCTGAGGATATATCAGTTGTAAGGAGGTTTGCATGTCGCTCTCCTTCTGACAGGAGGGCGCAGGGCGCAGCTAGAGAATCCACCTGGTGATTAATCCAATTAGCAGTTAGTCCTTCTGCCCAACCCCTCAATCAGAGCAGTGAGCACTTAGCAGGCCTGGCCGACAATCAGCCCAGGCCTTAATTAGCCTTTCTGCCCCAGTCCCTCAATCAGGGCGGTTCACAGTTTATATCTCAGGCTGAATCCGTGCAATACAGCCCATCAGTTCAGGGTGGGGAATTCGCTCCCAACTGGGAGCAACAGCAAATGCACCTGGCACCCTAGCTCCAGCAGGCACCAGACCAATTCAGGCCTCCTGGCCTATTAGTGAGGAGGTAGCCACCCTTCACAGGTGGGGTACCTGGGGTAGGGGGACACAGGCCCTCCCACTCCTTTGCATCCCAGCCCAGGGCCCTATTAGGGGCAGGGTATTGCATCACTAGGTCAGCATGGATCTGCCCACAACACGCTGGCCAGTTCACAATAACACCACAGCTGAACCCTATTCGGCATCCCTGGGCTCCTTCCTACCCTTCCCAGTTTGGGGTACCTGGGTCATCCTAGGACTCCCCGGGGTAAACAGCCAACGGCAGTCCCAGTAGTTCATCAACATTGCTAGTCTCCAGCAATTCAGGTAATGCCTCTGGTCAGGCAGCTGTCTCCTTCAGCTCTGATTCCCAACAGCAAGGATGGCTCCTCTGGTGGCCCTTTTCCTACTGAGCTAGGAGGCTGGCCTTTTATAGTGCATCTTCCTGTCCCACCCCTCTGCTTGGGGCGGCTGCAGGTGGCCTGGTTCTGCCCACGAGGAGGAGATCTCAGGTCTCTACCCTTCTGACAGGGCGGGAGGCCACACTCCCTCACTACACCGTTTTCTGTTGCCATATTGCACTGAATTCTGGCCTATGCATCAGTGAGACATCAGACCTTGAATCTGACTGGCCCGGTCCATCAGACCAGCAGGTTGATTTTAGCACGGGTCCAGGATTAAATACAGCAAGTCCTAAATCTTGGGCCAATACCATTTTCAGTGCTTGGAAATAGCCCAGTAATACTTTTTATTGGTGTGCAGGTCCCTGACTTCCCATCTGTGTGGTCTTTGTTTTAACAAGCAAGCACGTGTGTGTGTGTGTACATAACATAGACATTTTGTTGTTTGTTTGTTCTCCTAGGGATGCTCATCTTAGATACAGCACCCCTTTCTCAGGAATTCAGTTTCATTGTTTGTTTGTATTGCAGTAGCATATAGAGGCTCCAGTGGAGAGCAGGGCCCTGTTGTTCTAGGCTCTGTACATAAACAAAAAAATGTTCCTGCCCCAAAGAGCATATAATCTAAACAGACAAATCAGAGTAGAAAAAGAAGTGTCAATTGTCCAAAGTTTACACGTGGGGAGCTGACACCGAGATTGTCTCACATAGGGTCCAAGTTTATAGGCAGAGCTAGACACCAAACCCAGGTCTCCTGGTCCCCAGTCAGGTACCTTAGCCACAAGACCACTTCTCCGCAAACTTTCAGTTTGCTTTTATCCAATTTACCAGCAGAGTCAGAACGCAGTTGAGTGCTTAACCCTAGAGCATCCAGGGATGCCCCCAGCATCGAAACTGGGCACTCAGCCCTTTCCTCTAAGCACTTGACCATATAGCTTCCCAGATCCAAATTCCACATTAATTGCATGGGAGGCAGTTTATCCTGGGCACATCACTTTAAAGGAGGAGGTCAGAGAGATACAGACCTGTTGCCTTTGTTACTCGTAGAGAAGGTGAGCTGTGATCCTGCAGTTACATCCTCCTCATCTTTATTGCTATGCTATCTGACTCTAGTAGTAGTAGTTGGGGTACCATTAGATTCTGTCTCCTCCCTTCCTTTGCTAATTAATCAACTCTCCCAATGACAGCTCTTGACCATTAAATAATTTTCATTAGTATCCAGGGACCAACATCTTGGATGTGTCCATCTGTCTTCATTAACTCTGATTTCAGCACCAGGAAGAGTGACCTGAGTGACAGCAATAAGTCAGTCTCTTTTCTTGTCCCTTCCCCTTCCTTGTTTCTTTCTTAATGAACATTGACCATTCTGATGGGGGTTTTTATTGTATGTTTTAAGAAGGAGACAGGGGGTAAGTAACTCTACCTTCTCCCTCTTTCCCCAAAGAACTTCAGTGTACAGCCTTAAGAAAAAGGAACAGAATCTTTTTTAAAAGTAGATAAATAATGCATAATTGCCCTCATTTTGTCAGTAACCTAAGAATGTCTGTCCAGGTCAAGAAGGAAGAAAGGAAGATCAATCTTTATTGATGTCTGAATTATGTTCCTCCAGACTAAAAATTAACTTCTTCTGTTGCTTATCAGAATCCACCTTGTAGGCTGGCAGATCCTGGTGCACAGTGCCAGTCCAGGGAAGGAGCAGTTGGATTTCTTGGACAGTATGGCTACCTTTCCCTCAACCATGCTAAATGAATGGTGAGAACAGATTTGCATGTATTTGATGTAACAATATAATCTGAGAGGACATTAGTGGCCTCACACATCACTGTTTGGTATAGCAAACACTCAATTATGGCAATTGGGCATGACCTTGGCTACCAAATACTTTTGCAGCAGGTGGAGGAAGCAGTCTATTCTGCTCACGTGTTCAGTCACTTCTGGAAGGCATGCAGCTTCTCTCCTTCCAGTTGGAATAGCATTGATACAGGTTCTTCCTCTCCCGAGAGTGAGTGCTTTGTATGCAAGGACTTTGAAAGTAGGCTCCTAAAAGAGCTCTAAAATGAAGAGACAAATTAACATCTAGTGGACGGTGGTCTTATGTGTACAGCTACATCACAGATGGAAGGAAAATATGGTGGGCAAGTAAAGGAAACAAGAGTGACCGAAAACTGGAGTGCGAAAAGCAGTCATCCCTTTTTTATTGACTGCCTTGCGTGAAGGGAGAGGCTGGACGGACTTTTTAGAATTGCTCTGAGGGTAAGAACTGTTTGCTTGAGAGAGATTGACATGACATAGGGAGCAGAAGCATGGCCTTTACCAAGAGGAAGAGCAGGAGCTAACTGTTGGGCAGCAAAACATAGACAGGCCTGCTTGCCCGCATGGAGAACATGTCTGGGGATCAGGTAGTAGAACCATGCGACATTGTAGCCCCCAGGTCATGACCCTGTGAAGGATCCCAGGTCTACCATTCACCAGATCTACCCCTTCACCCTCTTCCCCTCCCCACTCCCCCGTGCACACACACTTCCAGCCCCAGACACCTGTTCATCTCACAGTAGGAGCACTGATGTGTGTAGTAAGCCGCCTGCTCTGGGTGAAAGAACTCTGTGTACCACTGTGCTGCTGCTCTGCTTGAAGAGCTGACAGGTTTTGAGACTGAGCTAGGTTGTCGCTCCCAAGTTGTCCCCTCTCTTGGACTTCTGACTTCAGGGGAAATTTACCCTCCATTATAGGATCCCACTCTCCTAACATGGGGGAACTGGTGGGACAATCCCACCCCATGAGAGACTTGGGAGGCTAGGGCTAGCCTTATTGGGATCCAGGAATAAAGGATTCCCCCCCCAGCCTAAGAGGGGGAGGTCCACAGGATCTGGAAAACCAAATAATTACGAAGGACTAGGGCTAGTAGTAGGCAGATTTACTGGCGACTTTAGTCTTAGAGCTACCCATGTTCCTTCCTCCTTTGGCTTCTGTGCTCCATGCAGAACACCAATGGAACACAGAATCTGACATCCTGTGTGTGTTCAGTGCCCAATCTTCTCACAGTACTTTATTGACGAGAGCAGGTTTTCATATTATTCTTTTCTCTTTGGTTCTGCAGTGATAACCAGAGTAATGTCATGCTGGAAGAGTGAGCTGGAATCTAGTCTCTCTCCTGCATAACCAACAGGATTGTTAAAGAAACTCTGATTGCAGAATCTTGTTTACAGTGGCTGAAATAGAACAGAACTTGACCCCTCCAGCTATCAGGCTGTGTTTGCAGGTCTGGCAGTCATGTGTGGAGAGAGGGAACATTTTACAGATGGGTAAACAAGCATAGAGAAGCTTAGGTCAAAAGAAACCAATCCGGTACAAAAGAAACCTAGCCGGTATCAAGCGGAGTGCCCCAAGGGTCGGTCCTGGGGCCGGTTTTGTTCAATATCTTCATAAATGATCTGGAGGATGGTGTGGATTGCACTCTCAGCAAATTTGCGGATGATACTAAACTGGGAGGAGTGGTAGATAGGCTGGAGGGCAGGGATAGGATACAGAGGGACCTAGAGAAATTGGAGGATTGGGCCAAAAGAAATCTGATGAGGTTCAACAAGGATAAGTGCAGGGTCCTGCACTTAGGACGGAAGAACCCAATGCACCGCTATAGACTAGGGACCGAATGGCTAGGCAGCAGTTCTGCGGAAAAGGACCTAGGGGTGACAGTGGACGAGAAGCTGGATATGAGTCAGCAGTGTGCCCTTGTTGCCAAGAAGGCCAATGGCATTTTGGGATGTATAAGTAGGGGCATAGCGAGCAGATTGAGGAGGTGATCGTTCCCCTCTATTCGACAGTGGTGAGGCCTCATCTGGAGTACTGTGTCCAGTTTTGGGCCCCGCACTACAAGAAGGATGTGGAAAAATTGGAGAGAGTCCAGCGAAGGGCAACAAAAATGATTAGGGGTCTGGAACACATGACTTATGAGGAGAGGCTGAAGGAACTGGGATTGTTTAGTCTGCAGAAGAGAAGAATGAGAGGGGAATTGGTAGCTGCTTTCAACTACCTGAGAGGTGGTTCCAAAGAGGATAGTTCTAGACTATTCTCAGTGGTAGAAGAGGACAGGACAAGGAGTAATGGTCTCAAGTTGCAGTGGGGGAGGTTTAGGTTGGATCTTAGGAAAAACTTTTTCACTCGGAGGGTGGTGAAACACTGGAATGCGTTACCTAGGGAGGTGGTAGAATCTCCTTCCTTAGAAGTTTTTAAGGTCAGGCTTGACAAAGCCCTGGCTGGGATGATTTAATTGGGGATTGGTCCTGCTTTAAGCAGGGTGTTGGACTAGATGACCTCCTGAAGTCCCTTCCAACCCTGATATTCTATGATTCTATGAAACCATTGGATTTTTGGCACTCAATTTGAGACAAGGGGCTAAATACTCTTATGCAACTCTATTGACTTCAGTGGTGAGTTTGGCCAAAGGGGCACAAAAACTGAGACTCCTAGAAGAAGTCACCAATTCTGAAAATGACCTAAAGTGGTTGGCCCAAGCTAGCAAGGCAGGTCCGTGGCAGAACTGTGAGAAGAACCCAGGATTCCTGGTTCCCAATTCCCAGCTTTCAGCAGAGGCTCACATTCTTTACTAAACTTCTAGCCTGTGTGTTTGTTTATGGAATTTTCTCTTGCTTTAACAATTCTGGGAAGCAGAGGGAAGGAAAGAGGATCTGAGATGGATGGAGAGGGGTAATAATAGGAAAAGAGGTAATACAAGTAAGAAGCACAGGAACCAGGGGGGAGGGGAGGGGAATGAGGAGGAAAAAGTGTAGTGAATAGCTATGAGACTGACTCTCCGGGGAAAATGGTGTATGTTCTGTAAGAGGTATGTAGCTGTCTGGGTCATAGGGTCAGTGCCCCTGCCTGACCCTCGTCAGTGCTAATAATGTATTATCAAGTGCTTGACTGCTCACTGCAGCTTGTTAATTGATTGACAGAGTATAAAGGAAAACGACAGTGGTTACCTGAAGTGAAACTGAACTTTAATTGTCATCCTGTCCCTTGGCAACATCTACCCTCCCCCTCATTTGTAATGTTTACTGCCCTCTCCTTCACGCTGTCCCTGCTGTTCCATCTGCCCATAAACTGTAAGTTAATAGACACTGAAGTCAGTTCTTTGGCCCTTAGTTTAAAGAACTTGAAATTGGGAGTCCATCTAACAGGACACTGCTTGTGTGAAGGGTGAGACCTGTGGTGAATATGTGCCAGGAAGAACTACTTCCTGCCCTCACTGCAGGTCTAGCAGGGTCTGCTGTCCAAGTATGTGCTGTAATTAGATAATTAAGATCAGTGGTGCTGGAACAATTTTTATAGTGGGGGTGCTAAGGGCAGAAACCATGTATATGAGTTGTTGTTACGACTTCAAGCCAGGGGATGCAGCAGCACCACCAGCACCTATGATCCGTCTGAATGTTCCCTCCTCCCTCTTGTAAAACAAGAATTTGTTAGACTTTCCTGTGGCTGAATCTTATCTGGTGGTAACTTCTAATTTAAAATCTACCTTTGTGCAAGTGGTGGAATTAGCACATGCCTCCATCATCCCACCTGTCTCATCATCCCACTCGGGTAGTTTTCTCCTGGGTTTAAGCGGGGAATTAGTACTTGACTGTGTACCACTGCTGGGTGCCATGACTACATAATTCTACACCACCTTGCTCAGTATTCCATGATATAGCACAGGGAAAACAAGTAGTTTGCTTGTTTTCTTATCTAGAACAGTGTCCCTGGTGGATGTTTCCTGATGCACCATGCAAAGGAGTATGTGCTGTCTGTAAAGTTCAGGGCACATACTCAGCATGGGGAGCAGCTGACCAGCCCTCTGTGGAGAAAGAAGTGGTTCGGGACTATTTAGAAAAGCTGGACGAGCACAAGTCCATGGGGCCGGATGCGTTGCATCCAAGAGTGCTAAAGGAGTTGGCGGATGTGATTGCAGAGCCATTGCCCATTATCTTTGAAAACTCATGGCGATCGGGGGAAGTCCCGGACGACTGGAAAAAGGCTAATGTAGTGCCCATCTTTAAAAAAGGGAAGAAGGAGGATCCTGGGAACTACAGGCCAGTCAGCCTCACCTCAGTCCCTGGAAAAATCATGGAGCAGGTCCTCAAGGAATCAATTCTGAAGCACTTAGAGGAGAGGAAAGTGATAAGGAACAGTCAGCATGGATTCACCAAGGGCAAGTCATGCCTGACTAATCTAATTGCCTTCTATGATGAGATAATTGGTTCTGTGGATGAAGGGAAAGCAGTGGACGTGTTGTTCCTTGACTTTTTAGCGAAACTTTTGACACTGTCTCCCACAGTATTCTTGCCAGCAAGTTAAAGAAGTATGGGCTGGATGAATGGACTATAAGGTGGATAGAAAGCTGGCTAGATTGTCAGGCTCAACGGGTAGTGATCAATGGCTCCATGTCTAGTTGGCAGCCGGTATCAAGTGGAGTGCCCTAAGGGTCGGTCCTGGGGCCGGTTTTGTTCAATATCTTCATAAATGATCTGGAGGATGGTGTGGATTGCACCCTCAGCAAATTTGCAGATGACACTAAACAGGGAGGAGAGGTAGATACGCTGGAAGGTAGGGATAGGATACAGAGGGACCTAGAGAAATTGGAGGATTGGGCCAAAAGAAATCTGATGAGGTTCAACAACGACAAGTGCAGAGTCCTGCACTTGGGACTGAAGAATCCAATGCACCGCTACAGACTAGGGACCGAATGGCTCGGCAGCAGTTCTGCAGAAAAGGAC